ACAGTGAAGTCCATCCCTGCCCCGACTCGAGCCTCTGAAATGAACAGTGAAGTTCAACTTTGCCAGCAACTGTTAGGAAAAGAGCCAAGAACAGCCTAACAGGAAAGATACTGAGGATTTTTTGTTTGTTTTTCTGCTAAACCATGTTTTTGTAATTATGAATACTTTGCTGAAATTGCTTAGAAAAGGAAGTGCACATAAAATGGTCGATAGAATTAAACTAGCTACATATTAGAGTTGAAAGAATATAAGGCTGGTCTCACTCTGTTGCACTCGCACAGACAAAACCCCTTCTCAAAAGGAATTTGGCTTGAGAAGGCAGATCTGGAGACAAATCTTAGTTAACTTCAGGCCCATGTGCCATATTGTCTGGTTTATGACTGCCCCAAATGGCCTAAAAGCAAAGGACATTCACACTAAACAAAAGCAATGGCTGAAAGGAAGAAAAGGAGGAACGGGAAAGCTGTCATTTCCAAATCCCTTCTACTCAAAAGTTGGTCCCTGACTCTGGATCAGAAACCCTGAACAAGACAGCAATTCCTTTTCACTCCTAAAACTACCTTCTACTAGACTAGGGAGAAACAGGACTACTTTATTTCACCTAGATTCACATGAATGCTGCTTTAATCATTCCCCACTTGCTCCTGCCACTTCTCCCCAAGCTTAGGTTTGTAAAATCCTGAATCACTGAATTGAGATCAATCACCAAGGCAGCTTTCTCTTGCTTTCCAGGACAGATGATTCTGGGGTATCAAAAAAAAAAGTTTTTCAAGTGTGGAAAATTACAACTTTGTCCCCTAAGTAAATAAATAAGAGCAAGTTGCAGTAGGACCACTTCAAACCGCTATACTTCAAACAGCATTTTATATTTTCCATTTAAATGGTTTTCTCTAGGAACTGGCAATAAAATAGAAGCAGCCTGCTCCTGACTCCCAGCACACTGAAGCATATGTAGTGTTATAGGCGTATCTCACTGGAAAAGGAAAAATCTCATCCTAGAGTGAGAAAGCTCAGTATTTGGTTAATAAAACAACATTTTATGGTTCAGCCTTAAGAAAGTCTTGGGTTTAGTTAAAGGAAAATTAAACTGATCCTTGACTGATGTAGCGAACAATATAGTGAACTAAACTTAGAATCATATGTGCAATGTGTAGCCTCTCAAGCATTTTCACTTTCCATAGTAACACACCCCGTCCTCTGTACACAAAATCGATTTGACACACAAACAATATTGCTGAAAACACACCCAAATCTAAAGCGAGGTCTACTGTATTACAAACCTAGTTTTTAAGAACGATTCTGACCTTGTACAGTCCCTTATATAAGGAACAATATGCTGCCATTTGGCTGAGGTCAAAATAAAGTCTCCCATCTCCTCAATAAACAGTACTGCGAAGGCCATGATAGTGGGAAACTGGTAAACTTATGCATGACTATTTTTACCTACACCGTGTGTAATTGTGTTGAAGCCTGTGACAGCAACTAACTATTGCCATCTTAAGGTGGCCCTTAGCATTGCTGCAGCTGAAGCCGAGCGAGCTGTTGCTGCTACCGTGTGCTACCCTTGCCATACACCCCGGCACCTGCGAGCTCTTCAACAAGGCGGTTAGAAGCGCTCGCTCCAAGGTTAGTCAAATCCCGCAGTACAGCTGTCTTTTGAAACACACACGTAACTTGTTCAATATTAAGAAAAAATATTGCAAGATAAACATTTTCCTTCTCCCTTCCTTTCTCTTACATAAAATTGTATTAAAGGTATCCAATCCCTGGCCAAGTCGATCTGCCAAACCCAGACCTCTGCTTCTAGCAGCTGTAAGTGGTATTGTTGTGTTTGTTTTGCCCAGCTGTACCTCTATAGCCTACCTGCCAAGACAGTTCTGTAACCAGATAGTGCTCAAAAGGCTTCATAAACTATTCATTTACCTTGTAGACACAGTGTGAGATGACTACTGACCTGATTTATACATAGGAAGTACGGGCGCAGAACCGAGGAGAGTTGCACACAGTCAGGGCATGCCCACCTTCCAGCCCGAGGTGATGATCATCTTCGCAAACAAAGCTAAGGAACTTGCTGGATTGAAAAAAAAACACCTCTCGGTGCCTTTTATCTGCAAGACGTATCTGACATCTGTAATTTTTGAATGTCTTTTAATACTAATAAGCAAGCAAGTAACTTCTAGCTGAGCAGCCTGTGAATGTTTTTCTACTCACACATCTTCTCTCGCTCCTGCAGCTCCTGACTCGGAGCATGAGCCGTGATGACATCAGGGCAGAGCATAACCAGGAAGTTTAAACCAATTTGGGAACAAACCTTCCCATGTCACCAGTTCCAAACCCATCCACACAGGGAGTGAATGCAGTGCTACCTTCTTCTGTCAAAGAAATTTGGTATTTTCAGTCCAGTGGGCCTGCGAAAAAGCTTCCATCCCCCTGCTGGTTCTTCAGACAGATGTACTCTGCAGGGAAATGGAAAACTGAAAAGGACACAAAACGGCCATCTCATCTGCTCAAGTGCCCCAACAGGATGGCACTGACACATGGTGGCAGGAAAACTTGCATCCTCGGTACCTGCTATTGTATTCTGAGATTGCAAGCAAGACCTCAAAGCTCTAAACATCTCGTATTTCCCTTGAAAGAACTTACACAGACAGGTCTAGACAGCTCAAACTCAAACAAGCGATTCCTAAAATCTGTTGGACACACACTTATTGGGGATATAAACTTTAACCTTAAATATAAAAGCATCCAAACGTAATATTAAAATTAAAAAAAAAAAAAGGAATCAGTCCAACTCTCCTACACATTTGGTATCCTGTAAGAACATTAAATTCATTTGTGTAAAAATTAGATAATTCCCCTTCCCTTCACTGTTTAGATCTTGCATATGGCAAACAGACCTGTCCCAAAGGCAGGCATGTCCACTTGTTACCCTCAGCTGCTTTTCACTGCAACTTAAATACTATCCAGTTTCACTAGAGTTCACCAACTTTGCATAAAGCTGTAACAATCTAGTGTGAAACACACGAGCAATTTAACACAAATCTGGTATCAAAGATAGCCAAGCTTATAGTAATTTAATTTAATTTTATAGAAACAACAGAGCATGTATTTAATTTGGTATTGCTGATTTGTACTTTAAATCAACACAAGCTTTCTGTTCTTGGAACTATTGCACCGTGTTCAGTTTGCTCAGAACAAAACAGCATATAGCTACACCATCATTCATACAGCTAACCTTGTCCATTTAAGATGACTTTCGCAAATAATGGTAAAACATCCCGTTAAGTTATGTAATGTGCCTTGGAGTTCTGACTTGCGTGACCAAGCGATTTCAGCCCCGGACTAGGATGTTGTGCTCCTTCCTTATCACCTAACTCCTCAGAGAGGAGGTGTTCCCTCCTTAGGTGGCCCAACAGTGGCACCCAGCGGCCACTCCTTTTCATGAACACTTTGGGAAACCGCTGCTGTTCAAGTTCCCACTCACTGGATTTCCCAAACACAGCTACAGTCAGTTTCAATGGACTAGCTGTTTGACTACTGAGGTTCGAAAAGTTACCCACTGTTTAAACTGTCCAGAAAACCCGCTGAGGACCAGCCAGAGCTAGGAAAAATGTGTGGCACCTGAAACGCTGCACAGAAGGCAGTCAGCCACCCACACACAGAAGACAAGGCTACTGTAGAGTCAAACACATCAGCAAAATTATTCTTATAAAAACCAGGTATGTCACCTCAAGCAACAAGATATTTTATATAATTTACATCATTGAGGTGCTGGAGCACATCCAAAGAGCAACGAAGCTGGTGAGGGGTCTGGAGCACAAGTCTTATGAGGAGCAGCTGAGGGAACTGAGGATGTTTAGCTTGGGGAAAAGGAGGCCGAGGGGAGACCTTATCGCTTTCTACAACTACTGAAAGGAGGTTGTAGAGAGGTGGGGGTCAGTCTCTTCACGAGTAACAACTGATAGGACAAGAGGAAAAGGCCTCAAGTTACTCCAGGGGAGGTTTAGATTGGGTATTAGGAAAAATTTCTTCACCAAAAGGGTTGTCAAGCACTGGAACAGGCTGCCCAGGGTAGTGGTTGAGTCACCACCCCTGCAAGTATTTAAAAGACTGGTAGATGTGGCGCTTAGGGACATGGTTTAGTGGTGGACTTGGCAGTGCTAGGTTAATGGTTGGACTTGGTGATATTAAAGGTCTTCTCCAGCCTAAATGATTCTACGATTCTACACGCCCCTGTCCAGCTAGCTACAGACTGTGAAAGGATTCTTGGGCAAGAGAAGATTATTTTCCCCTTGATGATGCAGCTCTGCTTTCTGAAGGTCCTAGTACTCAAGCCAATTTCCACAAGTGTGATACAACACATCAGACAAACAGTCTACACTTGATACAATTTCCCAATAATCAAATGCAGTAGTAGGGCTAACAACCCTCCAGACATTAATAAGCATCCAGGAATTTCCACACTAAGTTATTTTCGATCATCAGCAGAAAAAGATGCTGCTTCAGATTTTGGATGTTAACCAAACAGAAACACAAAGAGGTGAGCCCAGATGCAGGGTCCAGGACTAAACTCTGGTAGATGCCATTTAACATTGTTCCCTCTTACACAGGGAAATTGGTATGGGAAGGTCACACACCAAAGTCAGAAATAGAAAGGAGAAGATAGGAAAAGCAAGCTATGAGCTACAGAGAAGGCCGCATAAACACAACAAATGCTTTTTTTCACAAAACCAAGGCTGAACTGAAAGTATTATCAGGACAGCCTGTGAACCTACATTTTAATAACTTTACACTCCTCCATGGCATAGCATAAGGGATTGCAAAAAGGGGATTAAATTGACATTGGAATTGGATTAATCAACAGATTAAGATGAGACAAACCAAATTGACTCTTAACACTTAGCTTCATCCTTACCATAAACTGCTCTAATACAAAAAGTTTTCCAAGAAGCACTATCACTTCCAACAAAGACAGAAAATATTCAGCTTTACAGTAGTCAAACTTATTGAAAACAATTTAATAAGACAAATGTCTTCTTAATACAGGTAAATTGTACATCATACATTACACGTTTATAAGTGAACTGAGTTAGTCTTTTCGTAATTGGACAGTTTCCTCTTTAATTCCATCTTTTGTGACAATGCAAATCTTAAGTGCATCCCCAGTGTACACGTCTCTCTCAGCAGCAGATATAAAGACATCTTTAACCAGCTGCAAAGCCTTTTCCAGGGTCAGAGGTACATGTTCCACATTTTGCATGTTCTTGAAGCCAATCTAAGGAAAGATGAAAATGCATTTTAAAGCAAGTATGTTCCCCCTAGCATGAAAGCTGTTTCAGTTTCTGCACAAGAATCAGCAGATTTACACAACTTAAAAAGAAGAAATGGTTGGTTTCGCTTAGAAACCAAAAGCTGGCAAAGGTATTCCTCCACACAGTTTACAGCTGCATGATCAGAACTTTGCCAATGCTGATCCTCTCACAAAAGCAACTAGAAGCAGATCCAGTTAAAGCAAGTGTAGCTGCTCCTACCCATTCAGCATATACAAGATCGCAATGAACATTCAGTTCTTAACTGATCTAATTTTTCAGAAACTTCTCCTGGGTTAGCAGTACCAGAACTGCACACAAGCCTTTTCTCTAGCCATTCTGTAGTTAGGAACATTTTTTAAAGGCAAATATTCCTAAACGTACCTAGAATTAAAAAATAACAGTCTATATTGGAGCACACCAGTTCTATTAAATAGCGTATTTTAGCTTATAAACTTGAGCGTCCACTTAAGCATCAGAACTGCAAAAGGAGGGGGAAGAGTCCCTTACTGTACCTCAAACTCAGAAGCAATAAAAAGCAACTTATCACAACTTTATTTCTGCAGAAGATATTTTATTTTCTGCAGTTAATGAAGTTCAAATCTAAGTCAAAGCTGAGAAACTAGAGTTGTTTAAAAAAAGGAGACTCTTCCTTTCTCAGCTGATAAGAACTAAGATTGCTTATTGCTTTTTAAGCACGAAATTGTGTTGAAATCAGGCTCAACTGACTAAACAATACCAACACCAATATCTGAGAATAAAATGAGTAAAACGTGCTTTGGTGTTTCTCTCACTCAACAATTAACAGCCTCAATTAAATATGAAAATATTCTTCAAGTATTTTTAGACAAATTTAACCGAATAAGTTTCCAACAGTTTTATGTAAGCACATCCTTAGAAAATGGTGTCCGAGTTGTACAAAACTTAAAGACTTTTAAACAAGTGCATGTTAAGTGATAAAATGTACTATATACACCTACTAATTCTAGCTTAATTTAGTGTTATTTCATGCTAAGTAACAGGCATGGTTATGTTATCAGCTTGGGAGGGGCATAAATCAGCTTCCTTAGGAAACAATTCCCCAATTAAAACATTTACCGGTATTTTAAACAGGCAGACCACTGTTTGTAGCATATTAAAACTTGAACAGATTCAAAAGCAAAACTTTCTGATTTCTCCCAAGAAGGAAAAACCACACAATTTATAGATTTATGGACTAACAGTCCTACCTGCAATACATTTAAAATTTCTCTCAAAAGTAATATTCCCCAAAAGTAAAGCTATATTAATTTGAGTGTCACAAACGTTTACTGAGATCATAAAAAAAAAAAAGAGAGAGAGAGAGAAAAAAAAGGAAAACTATTTTACCTGGTTATCAAGCAAGGGCTGCAGCATGGCACTTGCTGATCCACCTGCTTTGAAAGAATCTCTCTGGTACGAGCCTACTGGATCAAAGCTATATACTGCTCCCTTCCCTAGGGGAAAGAAAAAAAAAAAAAAAGATGGAATCACAATCCAGAAATATGTCAATACATTTACATTTACAATAGCATTTACATCAGAAACTAACTCTCTATAAGCAGTCTCTAAAGTACCACAGACCCCAGCAAATCTTTACCAAATAATATTGCAGTATGTTCAGACAATGCTTTGTACAGTAGGCTCACTACGGTTGTGTCCTGATACCGTATGCAAGGTTATCTTCAATATTGAAGTTGTAACTATGCTCTAACAGACATTTTCTACAGTACTTGCGACAGAAAAAGTGCTGATGCAGAATAATCAAAGCAGGAGAACGTGCTCGAGCACTGTGCTGTAGAAAGAGTTCCTCTGGATCTAAAGCTAGCGCAAAGAGGCAGCCTAGCCATCATTCTTTAACGTTACAGTTCTTGAACCACCTCCACAGAGGTAGGCAATGCATCCGCATTGCCTTCCCAGAACCAGGGATGATGCTCTGGCCTCTTACGCACTTCCCTCTGGAGTCAGGCCAGGTTGTGCAAAGCTTTTTAGCTTGCCTGGCCATCAGAAATGCAGACATGCTGTACCTCTGAAGGATCAGCATTTGATGAGGACATACTAGTCAAACACAGCACCTGGCCATGCTCATCCTTTCTGTTCAGACAGGCCGCACCTGATTTAATAAACTCTCCAGTTGTCCTGGTTTGAGTAACACAGGATTAATTTCTCTTTCAGTAATTTTACTTTTCAGTAAGGTCTCTTCTAATGCTTGGGAAAACCGCACTTTTAGAAGACTCTAGTGTCTGAATTTGTGAAAATATTTACTTTCTAGCCAGCTATGGTGTGTGGGTTTCAAGGTCTCAGTGTTTTCAAGCTCTCCAGGTGCGGGGATGAGGAGGAGCGAGACTCAGGCACTTGACCCAAGCTGACCAACAGGATTGTTTCATACCATGAACATCAATTCAATACAAACTAGAAAGTTTGCTGAGGTGTTTCTCTCTTCTACGATGGCTGTGATCCTGAGAACTTCTTGCCTTGGTGCCGGACCCCTGAGGCCTTCCCTTCCTCCCACTGCTGCGAGTACATAGCTTCCTACTGATAGAATTGGGCAAGTATAATCCTGTGTATTTTATATTGGTATCAGGATCAGTATTGGTTCTTTAGTATTGTTAATGCTAATTATTTAGTCTTATTCTATTAAATCTGTTTATATTTCAGCCCTCAGGTTTCCTTGTTTTTTCCCCGATTCCCCTTACTGGGTGGGGAGGGGTCATCATGTGACAGGGTAATTGTCTAAACAACAATAAATTGTTGTGGGTTCTTCAAACCATAACACCAGCGCAGTAGGCAGCCAACAAATGTGTCGTGGTTTGGGCCAAACCAGCTGCTGGGCAACCAAAAGATGCTCCCCCCTACCTCTCTTCAAAGAGAGAGAAAGGAGAGATAGATTTATGAGTTCAGAAGGAACTAAACTACTTTAATGAAATATTAATAACAAAATCAAAAGAAAATAATGAAATATATACAAAATCATATCAAGCTCCCAAGAAGACAATCACGTCACCAGCTGGCACTGGAGAAGTCCCAGACTGGACTCAGTGATGGATGGGAACTGGATTCCAGATTGGGATCAAAGGCAGAGGAACAAACAGAGTCCTTCCCAGATGCCAGCCATTGAAAAAAGAGGGCTGACCCTTTGATCCCAGCTTTTATACTGAGTGTGAGGCAGATGGGATGGAATACCCTGCTGGGCAGTATTGGGTCACCTGCCCTGTCTGCTCCTACCTGCAGGAGGTGTGAGCCCTCTACACTTTTCTGCTTCCCACCCTCCAACGGGACAAATAAAGAAGTAAGCTGGCCTTGGGTGTTACAGCAATAAGTGTAAGCAAGAGCCTCTCTGCATACCATGCCTTGGCATAAACTATAAACACAGGTCTTATCACTCTGAGACCAAACAGTGTCTGCACAATATGCCGTTAATTTCAGTAATATGAAGAAGCCCAGCTAAAAAGTAAAGTTACTGAACAGAATTGGTCCTGTTTTACCTCAAACCAGGACACACAGGTAGCTGAGCAGTCTTGAGAAAGTTAGCAGAGTTCCACACGGTTAAACACTAAATCAGAATGAATCAATCCTGCTGCACCCAAATTAAGCCCATGTATGCACACCTGCACTCTTATTCTTCAACTGCTACAGCCCCCTCATAATCTGAGATTCACCATTACGCAGGGCAGACTAATCCCTTTCCAGACTCCAAATATCATAGACATGTCTTAGCAAGACTGGGAACGCCGTATAATTTAATGGTAACAACAGACGGTGGGGAATGGTTGAAATTATTCAGATAAGACCACCTCTAAGCTCCTGCTCGAAGTCAGAGAACACCATATTTCAGCAACCCAACCAAATCACGCGACAAGAGCCCAGGAAGTCCTGAAAGGGCGCAACAAGAGCCCAGGAAGTCCTGAAAGGGCTGTACATTTAAACTACAGCTTCCACATAGAAGTCATGATTTTCACTAGGGATTAGTTAATATTTAAAAATCTCTTTGTAGAAACCTGTCTCTGGAGTAAACCTTCATATTTAATAACCTCTCTCACACTAACAGGACAGAGTAAAATATATGCAATTTTACTGCTAACGTCTCCTTTAAAGACACAACTAAGAATTCCAGCACGGCTGCTATAAAGTGTTCCAGTCTAAAGTATGACAAGTGAGCAACGTCAGCAGATTTCAGTTGTAATCAAATAATTATAACATAGTTTTTAGACTTTAATACCTTAGGAAATGGAAGATGAAGTTAGTAGCAGACACTAGGAAACAAGTCAGATGCATAATACGCATTTGACCTGTGTAAGCACCATAATGCCTAAAGGCAGGTGTTCAGAATAGGAACACAAACTTTGTTACTCCATCAGTACACCCGAGATGTAAAAGAACAGCTATTCACCTACAGAAATTTAGCCTCTCTTTTCTTCTTTATTGTTTAAAGTCTTACCTTCTTCATCAAGTCCACCAATTATGTTGTAAACGTAGTAAGGAAAGAAACGTCGAGAATACAGAATTGTAGACAGCATCGCTGCAATAGCCCCAGTAGTCATGGTCTTGTTATTGGAATGCTTGTACATCTGCAGGTGGTACCACATGTCCAAGAAGAAAGTCAGACACTAAATTTTACACTTCATCAGAATTACATTTTCTGTTACCTCGTTACAGAAAAACCTGATGCTAAGTAAGATTATTAACTAGCATGATTACTGAATACACACTGGTCTAAAGGTAAAGCCTTCTTACAAGCCAAAAATTACCATTTCTCCAAAGTTTTGCAAAGAACAGGTGATGTCTCATTAACATTATCCTCTCCAGTTCTTCCATTCTTTAAATTTGTGATGTTACACTTAGTAAGAACAAAGCATCAATTTCCCCTACCTGACCTTTCACTAGCAATACAGTTATGATACAAACATTTGGAAAAAAACAGCAAAAATTGTATTTAAAACATATAATATTATTGGTCTCAAAAGTGATACTAAGAATGTAAGTTTCTAAATACAATAAGATAGTTAGCTACCTTTAATCTTGCTTCAATAATTTTTGTAAGGGTAAGGCAGTCACCATGGAAACCACTGCATCCAATGACCGTTTGTTCTGTCCTGTAAAACGCAAAATTTTGTTGTGATTTTAGATTTAGTATTAACTATACCACTTTCTTAGACAGTAGATTATTACAAGAACACCAAATGTATTTTCAGTTTATCTAAGGGTATCAGAAACAGTTGTCTAAAATGTAGCAACAGGTCTTTTGCGTATAAAAGGTAACTGCAACCTACATCTTGCAGAGGACTCATTAAGTGCAGGACCACGCAGATATCTTTCTTCAATCCACTGACTTCCACAGCAAGACTGACAAAAAGAAATTCTGTGTTTCTTCATGCACCCCTAACTCTAGCTATTACCATTTAGTCTTGCTAGAGGATTTCTGAGATGGGGAGCCTGCTACATCATATCACTCCACCCAGTTTTACCCGATCTGGGCAGAGGATTGCATGAAGATTGTACAAGGGCTGTGTAACATTCATGCTAGAGGTGCTTTCCTGTGTCAGCACAACAGAAGTTGCCTGGCTGCATTGAAGAAAGTTAGCTCTTTGCTCAGTTTCAAAACATTTCATGAAGATTAACTACAGGAACACACGTTTGAAATTTAAATTCGAGTAAATGGGTGAGAGTCTGCAAACATTCACACTTATTTTCTGAATGAATGTTTTGTGATAATCTGTAAAGAACTGAAATAGAAATCTTCTCTCAGCCTGTCACAGATTATCACAAAGCATTCATTCAGAAAAGAATTGAAATAGAAATCTTCTCTCAGCCTGTCACTAGAATAACACAAAGCCATCATGTGCAGCATACAGAATGTACCACAGTAATTTCCATTTGGACAGCATTAGAGTCAAAAGCACAGTAAGGAGTTAGCCAAGAGAAACATAAGTTGATATGATCTTGTGTCATCAACAAAAATAATAAAAAAAAAACATTAAAAAAAATTGTTTACATAGCTGATAGCAGCCTACTAGGTAAGCACCTGGTACAGTCAAAAGAATGTAAACAATATGTATTTTTAAACCAAGGGGATGCTATCTAGGTGAATCAAGATAAGCATAAAATCAGCATAAAAAGTTCAATAGTGGAACTACTGATAAGTTTACGTCTCCTAAAACAAACACCCCTCCAAAGAGACAAACGTTTGACTACAGTGACACAGTAGAGCTGGCAGCAGTGGGCACACTTGCACACCAATACCAGGCGTCCTGATGAAGCAGAACGAGTTACCACAGGATTAGGTTTTGCTACAGTTAAGACAGAAGTTCTTCTGATTATCCAGCAAAAAAAAAAACCCACTCAGCTTACATTGAGCCTTGAATCATGCTAAAAGCTTGTTATCAGCTAACTTCAAGAGCATGCAACAGGAAATCTGGCTGTATTTACATCACATCCTGCATTACAGCAAGAGTCACCGTGACTCCAAAATCAATTTTGTTACTGTCCTTTTCTTCTGCTTAAAGAAAGTGATAGATCATTCCAGGCAGGTGACATACTCATCAATACAAAAGTTATTTCATCTGTATCAATTCTTACAAGACCTGGACTTACAGTTTGTAGCATTTTGGACTGTCCCGGCAGTGAATTGCATAACCTTCACTCAGTCGTGTGTCAGAGGCAACAATAGAAAAGTCTTCTCCAGCAATCGCCAACACAGTCCTTAAAGAAGAGTATTCACATAATCATGACTTTTAGCACAAATATCTTCTTAGGCAACAGAGGAACAGACTAGATAGTAATTCTACATCCAGACTCATGTTTTGTTAAGCATCTTATATTCCTTGGTATATTTCCCACTGTGCACGTCCCTACCTGTGACTCAAGACTGGAGGAAGAAGATACTAGACACACTGAAGAAAATATATGTCCATGATTCTTTACTTGGACTAAAAACTGTACGGAAACTTGGTAAAACAGTTTCCATACAATGCAAGAATCTCAATGGACTAGCAATTTTAGTTGCCTGCTAAGAAAAGATTCACCCTTCTAAAACAACTTGACTCTCCAAGCAAAAACACTCCAGCCAACTGCTAAGCACCAGTATCATTATCATCGCTTTTTAAATCTGATGTTATCTATGTTATTTGCTTCCAGATAACTAGTTTTGTGATTACCACATGTGTGCTACCATTAAGTAACAAAGAGATATCCTTTAAAAAGCAGATAGGCATTATAAAAATAATCTAAATAACACTATCCTGACCAGATCCTGTCATCAACTCAGAGCAAGTGTCTGAAAAACATTACCTACCTTTAACAGTTATGCCAAAACAGCTTTCAACCCAGTTACAGGTTTAGAAGCTAGCAATATGACCATTACATGAGTTTCCTGAGCCACCATAAAGAAACAACCCTGCGGGGTACGGAAAGTGCTTATTTTGACCTGTAAAATGTCAGGGAGCCCGAGTGTGCCAGAAGACATGCAAGAACACCCCCGAAGAGCTGCAAGGACCCGCGGGACGCTCAGCCCAGGGCAAGGCCCAGCCCAGGGCAAAGCCGAGCCCAGCTCTCCCCCGTGCTGCACCCCTTTCTTCCCAAGTGCCAGAAGACATGCAAGAACACCCCCGAAGAGCTGCAAGGACCCGCGGGACGCTCAGCCCAGGGCAAGGCCCAGCCCAGGGCAAAGCCGAGCCCAGCTCTCCCCCGTGCTGCACCCCTTTCTCTACAAAGAGGCGCTCGCAAGGGGAGACAAACCCTCACAGAGTGCCGGGGGGAGGCAAGTGTAAGACGAGAACGACCCAGCCCTACCGCCGCTCTTCTCAGGGCC